CGCCTAGTTTGAACTTGAGTTTCTTTTAACACCAGAATCCCTTATGCGTCTACTTGATTTTGCTTACCTTTCATGCACTTATTTCTCTTACTGCTTGCATCGCATTTATCTTTCCTATAATTTTTTGCAAACTCTTTTTAAATCTTGATTTTTTTTAGTCCCCCTATTGAGCCTCTGGCATCGCTCGAAACTACACCAGGCCCTCTTCCCAAGCCAATCCAGGTTGTTCAGCCTATTCCAGCGGCTTGTCCCTCTCCTGCATCTACGCATTCTGTGCACGATCAGACTGCCTGTCTGAATCCTCTTATTATGACTGCTCCTGTATCTTCCTCAATGGTAACTTACTTGGCTACAAGTAGCACTATCTCCATTCCGCAGGCTTCCAGCAATCTTTTGAACAGCACATCTTCTAGCAAGCCTCCTGGTCTCATCCCCTCATCTCCCTACGTTTATCAGAGTATTTCTCTCGGTCAACAAATATTTCTTGCCAAGTAAATCTTTTTATGTCCAGCTTTCGATTGCCATTCCGAGGCACGCATCAAAAGTGATTACTTCTGTTTGAACCCCCTTTTTATAGTTCACTAAAGCTGTTCTGTTTGTGGGTTTTGGTAAATGCAGTTGCTTTAGTGCCAGTGGATTTTGAACATGCTCTTTGTCCATTTAAAAGGGCGAGAGTTTCACATTTGCCACGAAATTCAGTTTGTTCATGAAGTATTTTGCTGTACTTCGTAGCACTCCCCAAAATGGATTTGTTATCGCCCAGCCTCCGGGAACTTCCTACATGATCGCCCACCCTCAGCCCCAGTTCCAAGTTCGGGCTCCTACAGGCGGTCAGACGATTCCAATGGCTCTCGTCCTTGGCACTCAACCTGCCTCAAATCTGATTCAGTTGCCCCAACAACCCGCAGCGGCTAACATGATTTCTGCAGCCAACCCTCCCATTGTGTGTGCCAATCCCGCAGTCGCGGTTCAGCCGAATCTTCAACAGTCATCCTGTCCTCAGGTATTTATGTACCTTTTCGCGTGCTTTTAATGCTATATGCAAGCATGTTATTTTTTAACCATGTGTCAGCCATCCGTTCGAGCACCATCCAATGGCCTGGCAGTAAGTTTTGCCAATTAAAGTGTTCTGCAGTTTTCACCAATCAGCAGTTAATGTATAAGCAACAACCAACCACCATTCGCTTTTCTATATCCACTTTGTCGAGGCCCACTTCTTGATTCGTCAAGTGTTCCAGCCAATCTCCTTTTGCTTGTCTAAGCTGCCTTTTATCGGCATTTGCCATAATTTATTTGGAAAATAGCATGCATCTTGGGGTCAGCTAAGTTTTCATCGCAATTTTGGCATTACGCGCTTACAATTACAACGTATTTATTCCTCAAACGTTTGTTCTTTAGTAGTGGCTGATGTTTTTAAGCCAAACAGTATTGTTAGATACGACACTAGCCCTTATGAGAAACTTCAGCATTTACACTGTAAAGTCTGCCTACAGCTCATGGCAGTTTTACGTAAGCATTCATAATCGCTGTGGTGTATATTTGACCTGAAATCTGCGTTATTTGGAAGCCTTTGTGCAATTCATATTCATGAAACGAGAATCTGATTTCCTCAGTGTTGCTACTAGTAACTTTTTGTGAATATGGCAGTCCAAAATGCTTGCTGCTTTGCCTTCACCTCCTTTTATCAAGTTCTAGGTGATTGTTAGGGTCGCTGCAGGCCCATATTTTCTTTGTTTTTTTGAAAGGTGGTGGATGGAGGAGTAAGTAACGTGTGGATAGTGATCAGTCACGTTACGAATGAAATCTCTTCTTGATGATCAGTTTAGTGATATCCCTTTTAATAAGGTGTCTAAATGCTTTATACTTCTGGCAATGATCCGTTGGCTGAACTACTCGACCTCGTTCTATAGTTCGAGCGTGTCGCCTAACTTTTTTGCCTAGAATATTTCACTGGTGGTCTTTGTGTGCTTGTGCCTTTGCACACACGCAAATATGAATCCATTGGCATGCTTGTGTGGTTTTCAGTTCTCTCATGTGAGTCTGGCTCTTGTCAGTAGCTGCCTTCTCGCACCAATCCACTAGATTGTTAGTGGGCCCGCATCTGGTCATTTAGTACTAATCACATCCGGTTTCTTTTCTCCCAACCTAATTCCTGAATTTTTTGCTTGCTTTGGCCAATTCGAGTGACCTGCCTGTTTTGAACAGAGGTGGATAATCAGCGTAGCTTCTCAACGTTGTAAGCACCTTGAATTCCTTTTCGGTATGAT